AGTCACATTTATCTGTTTACCATATTGTATATGGCTATCTTGTAGCAGAGCTGAGTGGTTGTCACACAGATCATATGGCTCACAAAGCCTAATATATTTACTATCTAGACCTTTATAGAAAAGGTTGCCAACCCCCAGCCTAAGGGATGGATGCCTTATAAGTCTCATCGAAGGATTGGAATTTTATTCTGAGTGATAGGAAACCACCAGATGGTTTTGAACCAGTGAGCCACATTATCTGACCTCCATTTTTAAAAGTTCTGCTCTGGGAATGGATTAGAGGGAAGAGAGAAGTGAAAGCAGGGAGACCAGAAGCAGGCTATGGCAAGCATCAAGATGAGAAATGGACAAGTAGACAACTGAGAGAAGTAGGTGAATTTGGCACATGTACTGAGGAAAGGAAGCCCGCAGGATTGCTGAGCCACCAGATACAGAGATGAGAGAGAAAGAAATCAAGCATGACTTCTAAGTTTCCAGCTTGAGCACCTGGGTTCATGGTGGTCCCATTAACTGAAAAGAGAAAGACCCAGGGAGGAGTGGGTTGGGGAGAAAAGCATCAAGAATTCCATTTTCCACATTCTAAGCTTGCGATGTTTGTCAGGCATCCAAAAGGCAAAGTTAAATAAGCAGTTAAATACTTGAGTCTGGAGTTCAGAGTATAAATTTGAGAATCATCAAAGAACATATTGAGCCAGAAACGGGCAGCCCGGGTGGCTCAGCAGTTTAGTGCCGCCTTCAGCCCAGGGTGAGGTCCTGAAGGCCTGGGATCCAGTCCCGTGTCAGGCTCCCTGCAGGAGCCTGCTTCTCCCTCTGCCTGTGTCTCTGCCTCTCTCTCTCTCTCTCTCTCTCTCTCTCTCCTCTCTCTCATTCATAAAAAAAAAAAAAGCCAGAAGCCTGGAAGGAATATTAACAAGGAAAGGTGTGAAGAGAACACTTGGATGGGCAAAAACTAGAAGCATCAGGGGCAGGAATTCAATAACAGGGATTAAGAAGGAGAGGTTAGTAAGGCAGGAGGATCCAGGAGACTGTGGTTTCATGAAAGCTAGAAAAAAAAATTTCAAACTGGAAGGAGTGGTTCACTGTGTTGAAGGTCTCTGGTGAATAGAGAAGTCACCACCAAATTGGGTGATATGAGGTCTCTCTGAAACCTTGACAAGAGCAATTTCAGTGAGTTGGGCGGGGTGGGGGGTGGGGGACGATGACCAAACACTGGACAAGTTTGAGGAAAACATGGGATGTGGGCAAATGGGGATAGATAGCAAGTATAGAGAGGCCTTTTTTGAGAAGTTTTGCTGCAAAATGAATGGGTCAAAACCCCAGATGTCCATTGCAGGCTCATGACCTTCAAAGTTCCTTCCAAGCTTGAGAATCTTTGACTTAATGAAGTACCTACTATGTGTCAGCTCATTCCTTGTCTGCAGTGCTGATGAGCAATTTCTCCTGATAACTCATGGGGAACCTGGATGGAGCACAAGAGAAATCCATATCTAGAGCCTCAAGAAAAAAGAAAAATGAGAAAGAAAGTTTGCAGCTACCCAAAGGCAAGTATAGATTTTCAAATGGTTTCTCCATGTTGTAGGAAGACCTGCAAACGCATCAAGCAAGCAGTTTCATTTCTGCTGGGTGTGCACGCAAGCTCTTCCTTCCACACTTGCCCAAGGAAGCTTGTTCATGCCAACTTCGGAAATTTGCTGCCAAATATAAATGTGCGACCCAAAGAATAAGCAGATTTCTGTAATTGGGACACAAATGCGTCTTGTAGAAGGATACAAAGTATCATTTTTGTTTCAGAAACGTGTTACCTTTTTCTGGAAAACATTTAGGTTCCCATGACAAATATCTAGGACTATACATACTCATGCACATAGAACCTACTGTTATTTAAAAAAATACAGTTTGGGGACACCTGGGTGGCTCAGCGGTTGAGCGTCTGCCTTCGGCCCAGGGCGTGATCCCAGGATCCAGAATCGAGTCCCGCATCAGGCTCCTTACAAAGAGCCTGCTTCTCTCTCTGCCTGTGTCTCTGCCCCCCCCTCTCTCTCATAAATAAATAAAATCTAAAAAAAAATACAGTTTTAAGCCTATTTCATCACAGACTGTAAGGAAGATGAGATAATTTTGTACCTAATTCTACTCCCTGATGATCTTAAAAGAAAAGACATCATCGGACTCTAAAGTCTGAGCTCTGAACCATTTGCTACTCTGTTTTATAGAGGTGCAGGCTGGCCCCTTAGGTTGCCAGTCTTCCTGGATCTATAAAAAGGTGTATATATAATCATAACAGGAGTCATATTTCTCTTTTCCCATGAACTAGTTTAGAATACCAGATCTGCTGCTTATGAAGCTGTGCAACCCTGAGTCTTTAACCTCTGTGAGCCACGATTGCCTTATTTGCCAACTGGCAATAGTAGATCTACCCTGCTGTTATGTATTAAGTAGGCTAATGTAGGGGCACCTGGGTGGCTCGTCAGTTAAATGTCTGGTCATGATTCTGGGGTCCTGAGATTGAGCCCCTTGTCAAGCTCTCTGCTCTGTGGCGAGTCTGCTTCTCCCTCTGCCCCTCCTCTCTGTTCATCTTCTTTCTTTCTCTCTCTCTAATAAATAAATACTTTTAAAAATTAAATAAATAGGCTAATGTAAATAAAGGTCTGTGTACCTATTCTGAGTACAACAAATGGTAGCCATCATGAAGAGTAATATCTATGAGTATACCTAATCCTTATTTAAAAGGCCAACTACGGGATCCCTGGGTGGCGCAGCGGTTTGGCGCCTACCTTTGGCCCAGGGCACGATCCTGGAGACCCGGGATCGAATCCCACGTCGGGCTCCCGGTGCATGGAGCCTGCTTCTCCCTCTGCTTGTGTCTCTGCCTCTCTCTCCCTCTCTGTGTGACTATCATAAATAAATAAAAAATTTAAAAAAAAAAGGCCAACTTACCTCATCACGTTCTGAGAAGGGTCCCAGATCCCCTGGGTTATCCCCTTCCATGATCTTGATTGTCTATCTGTTTGGAATCATCTTGATGTTTTGGTAATCCCATAGTTAGTAGTTTGCAGCCTGCCTTTCAATGTTCCCAAAGCCTCAGACTGCACGGGAGGAGGAAAGGTTCTATCCCCAAGCCCCACACATCTCTGAGTCGGCTTCCTTAAAAGATTCTAATGAAGAGTGACAACAGGGCTGGGTGATCATCTTTTTCACCTGACTTTTGCTTGTGAAACAAATCCATCTACATATAAACACTCAGGCTTTGGGAGACAAGACACTCCAGTGAAAGGGTCCATTGCATTGGCCCTGACCTGACTATGGAGGCCGGCTATCTTGAGTATTCCCTCTTCTTGGACTTGAAACAGCTGTAGAGGTTATGTCAGATCTTAGGGATATTTCCATTTCTTTATATTTTGTTTTTTTGAGGGGATGAGGAGGAGAGCTTTCAATTACCATTCACAAGTGGTAGCTGATGCTTTCTGCGCTCACATTCCCCCAGACCCTCTGGGACTCCAGCTACAGCCAGGGTGGACATTCTCCACACACACTGGCAGTGCCTACCTCAAGTACTGGTAGAGTTCCTCAACTTCTCCATTGCAGGGTTTGTTTCCAGCTTTGGTAGTTTCCTTAGCCCTTATGCAGTCAGCCCCAAGCATGCAGACAATTAGTACTCCCAGGGCAGCCTCAACAATTGGAGGGATGGAACAGGCCCTAGTCTCTGGTTCTGCAGAGGCACAACTCTGGAGGGTATTCTCTCCCAGTTCCTCAAAGGGTCCCCAGGAAGAGTGAGCCCAGTTGGCCACAACAATAACCAGTGGATTAACACATCCCTCACTGGCTTTTTTCTCCTCTTACCCTTCCCGCTCCCTCCCAAGAAGGCCACCTGGACCCAAGACCCAAGTCTCTCTAAGGTTTGGTTTTGCAGAAAACCTAAACTAAGACTTGCATGGAGGAGCAGGTTGGGAGTTTGTTTTTCTTTAACACAAAGAAAAAGGGGCTCCTTTGTTTGATAAATAACAAAAAGGGAAGCTGCCACTATTGGGAAGGGGACCATCCTGGAAGCTGAGAAGTGGAACTCATTTCTAACCACTGGTAACAAAGTTAGCTAAGCCTTCAAGCTGACTGCTAATATAGGCCAGGATCTGTTGGTGGCTGGGGGAGAAGCAGTCTGGCTGATTCTGGGTGTGGAAGTATTTCTTCTTCCCCCATCACAGTGCTGGGGGCTGGAGGCAGAATGTATGAATGGGAAAAGGCTGTGGGTTGAGACAGAGACAAATATCCAAAGCAGAGAATGGAGGCCTGGGAAGCTGGAATCAAGGCTCCAGAGTCAGAGAACAAAGAAGGTGAAGCAGATTTGTGAAGTGAAGGTGGTCTAGATTAATTGCAGGGACCAAGGGTAAAAGGTTCTATCCCATCCCAGTATTTGTGTGAGATGCCACCAGGGGCCTAGTAATCCGATGGCTATAAGAACACCTTCCCTGGCTGTGGGTCTTTCTGTATGGGAGGAAAAGAAAAGGAAATGAAAGAGGAGACAGGGATGAAAAGCAGTTGGGCCCAACAGATGCCCGGATCCCAAGGGCATGATTTTAACCGACAGGTAAGGAAGAGTAAAAGAAAAGGTTTCGGTGAGCAAAGGGGATTTCCAAGAACAATCAACAAGAACTGAGAACTCAGTCACCTGCCTTCCTTCCTGCTGATTTTATAAGGTTGCTTTTTCATTTGGATATGTGGGTCTACTGAGACAATGTAGGGTTTCTGAGGAGAGAAATAGTTTTCCAGGTGTTACAGCTGGGCAATTTTAGTTCCACAAGAAGGCTGGGTGGTCAGCTACAAGTGTGAAAGTGGAATAAATCAGATTCTCTGTAATAGAGACAGCAGATCAGAACACATTGATGCATCTGCAGAATAAGAATTTTGACCGTACTTGAGATGGCTGTATTATCCCAAAGTGGACAGCCTCTATCCTACCCCCAATCAAACCCACCCACACAAGCCCACCTGAGACTCTCCCAAACTGTAGGTCTTCATCTGTGCCGCCAGAATTCTAGATGGCTGCTGGTAGCTGTAATTCAATAATTATCATTACCAGACAGACCTCTTACTGTAGATCATCCCAGCTGTTCCTTTGTGAGGGTAGGACACAGTTTCCTGATAAAGGTCGTAACCTTTCATCTCAACTAAATTCTTGTTTTGATTCCTGGTCTCGAGTGGCTCTGCAGTGCTAATTTCCAACACAGCTGTATGTGGACCATGGGGACTTAGTCACCAGGACCTAAAAATGAAACCCATTGAGTGAGTATATTAAAAAAAATTCCTCAGGATCATATGAAAAATTAATTTATAAAAAAGTGAGGAGCACTGAAATCAGTGTGCTTTCACAGAACAATTCAACAATTCAACCTTTACATGTTTTTTTTTTTTTTAATTAGCAGTGGATGTTTCCATAAAACCGTTCCCTCTTTACAACTCATATGAGGTCTTTGGATTATCATCAACAGCTGAGTGCCTCTAGGCCTTTGCTGTCCACCTGTGGCTCCTGAGTACTTGTGCTGGATTGAGATGGGCTGTGAGAGACCCACATCAGCTTTTGAGGATTTAGCATAAAAAATAAATGTAAAACATCTCATTAGTAAATTCTTTATATCGATTACATGCTGTAATGATAATATTTTGACATACTGAGTTAAAGAAAATATTTAAACTGATTTCACCTGTTTCTTTTTACATTTTAATGTGTCTCCTAGAAAACTCTTAGAAGTCCAGGTGTGTGGCTCCCACTGTATTTCTATTGGATGGTCCTGCTCTAGCCTGTCTGGTGGGGGCAGGTGGGGGGTGTGGCTGGAGGACAGTCTCTTAGAGGGGGGGGTCAGGAGGCTGCGCTTGAAGTTCCTTTGCAAAGCAAATTCAGTTTTGCCCTACATCCCCTACATTGTGTGTTTGGGGAGGTTTATTTGGGGGACTCTTGGAGGTTATTTGTGAGGGAAGGGGCTTTTCTATCCCACAGTCACCAGAAATTGTTTGGCTGACATTTCCTTGCATTTTAGAAACATGTGGCAGTGTATCGAACAGTTTTATTATATGATTTGCATATCATAAAACTCATAATTTGAGGAGTTTAACCACACTATCACCATAATCCAATTTTAAGACAATTCCATCACCCTGAAAATTTTTCTCATGCCCATTTCCATTCAATCCCTAGTCCCAGCCACACTAGGTAACCATTGATCTGCTTTCTCTCGATGTAGTTTTGACGTTTTGGGTTTTTTTTTTTAATTTCATATAAATGGTATCATATAATAGGTGGTCTTGTGTGTCTGGCTTCCCTAGCATATAGTTTTTGAAGCTCATTCATGTTCACAGTGCTTCTCTTACTAACTTCCCTCCCCTCTTTTTTTGCCTACTTTTAGAGGAAACAAATGGGTGGCAGAAAATCTGGGGGAAATTCCTCTGTAACTGATCCTGGAAAAGTTGCCAAGGATAAGAAAAAGCACGCTAAAAATTTCATGTCACACTGGGATTTGATTATGGGACTCTGCAGATCTCTCTTCTGTTTTTAAAAAGAAGATTGACTGTATTGGCAAAACAATATTCATTTCCCCATTTTACCTTCCTGTTCTTGTCTGTAAACTTACATAACTTACATATCCTTGTACTCGTAGTGTAGATAAAGATGTGGCATTCTATATTTTCTTTACCATCAAATACATTTTCTAAATGATGATGACAGATTTATTCTCCAGAATCCACACTCTCTCACCTGGAAACTGAGCAGATGTAACTGATTTTCATGGAAGTTAACACTCTGACAGTCATTCATGTATTCAAAGAAGTGCAAGCTCTCGTGGTGCTACTTATACTGAAATCTAACCAGATGAATCTAACAGCCCACGGTCCTAAGATTTTGCAGTGCAAGTCACGGTGTTTGTTTAACAGACAACAGCTAAAGAGAAACACTCCAGAACTGTTTTCTTGGCTAATAAGCAGGTACCAAAATAATGTATATCTTCTGACACTGCCCCCCCGTCAAATCACTGAAAAGTTTACCCGTGATAATATGTGGACTTGGAAGAGTGGGTGGTGAGAATTTCTGATAAACACACCCTTAAAGACTGAATCACACACAAGCTGCTACAGGAACCACCCGTGAAAATCACAGACTGTGACAAGTGTGGGGGAGGGGGGTAGAAGTTGAAAGTCTAGGCTGAGGTTAAATCCCTTTCAATCACATTTTTAATCAGATAAAGTAAAAATGAAACTGTTTCACGTCTTCTTTTGCTTACTGTGGCAGGTGTGTTTAGCTCACCCATTCAACTGAGGCAGACGTTGTTAGAAGACAATCCAGCACAGTGGCTTCCTCCCTCAGGCACCTCTGTGTCTATGCTTGCAGGCTTTTTCTGCCCCGGCAGCATGCTGGGCCCACAGTCAAGACGGGCCAGGAGGGCTGGGGAGTGGCACCCCCAGGACAACCCTCAGGAGATGAGGATAAATCCACCAGCCCCCTCAGCCCTGCTGGGACAGTTGGAGATGTGTTCTACACAGCCTCTCAGAGGGGCCCCTGCGGCAGGATTGAGGCCCTGCGGCCTCCAAGGTAACCTATGCTGTTGGATTTTCTCCCTTCCCCTGCTCACTTCCCCACTTTCTCGCTCTGCTTCCCAAGATCACTTCCAAATATACTACTTGCCTCAAATCCTTTACCTCAGAGTCCACTTTTGAGGGGGAGTCCAACTAAAACATCTACTAAAATTTTGGGTAAGCATAGACGTCAAAGGGATTCTATTACTATTTTTAGCAGAATTTTCTGGGTCATCTTTAAGAAGACCCAGGGAAAAGTAACCGAAATAATGAAAGTTGTACCAAATACTGGGTTACTTCTCTAGTATCACCTGAGGTTATCGTGTCTCTCAAGCGATACTATAAACACACTGTAGTCTGGACCCACGCAGACAGGGAACTGGATACTGTGCTAACACTTCATGCACATTAGCTGCTTTCATTTTCACAACAACCCCATGATATAAGTACTGTTATTGTCCTTTTACAGAGAAGGAAACTGGGAGATTCAAGTAATTTGGTCCAAGTAACACAGCTAGAAAAGATGGAGTCGGAATTCCAGCCCAGGCAGCCTGGTTCCAGATTCCCCACAGAATAGCTACTGACATGGCCCTGAGTATATGAGAGGTGTTTGACAAATTCTTGCTCGAAAATAAATAAAATCTTTTTTAAATGGGGGGGGGAGGCTGGGTTGTTCCAACAACCTGGGTTGTTCAGTCCATTGAGTGCCCGACTCTTGATTTCAGCTCAGGCTGTGATCTCAGGGTCATGAGATCCAGCCCCATGTAGGGCTCTGCACTCGACACAGAGTCTGCTTGTCTCTCTCTCTCTCTCTCTCTCTCTCTCTCTCTCTCTCTCTCTCTCTCACACACACACACACACACACACACACACAAATAAAGTTTAAAAATCTTAAAAAAAACAAAAACAAAAACGCATGCTTGATCAGAGAATTACCACATGTAGAGAAAGGAAAGAAAATGGTCTACTAATATCTTCAAATGTTTGAAGGCTTTGATCTATAAACCTCTGTGGTGGTTTGGTGAAGTCCATGGAGTCTTTCCCAGAAAAATTTTTTGTAAGTACATAAAACACAGAGGACTACAGAGATGAAATCAATTATACTGAAATGCATTTGTCAAAATGCTACCCCAAATTGTGATATGGCAATCTATGCAAACCTAAAACATAGGTTTGATAATATTTCTCACCAATTCTGAACTTCTCAGTGCCTGCCCTCCATTGTCCCCCAAATAAAATCTAGGACACCAGGATGGCATTCAAGTCCTATGTGATCTGAATCTAGTAATTTCCCATACTTAATGGGTGGTGCCTCCCAAGTTCCTTACACTCAGCCACAGAGAATTCTCTGCTTCCCCAAAGCACCCTTGCACTTCCAGGGACTCCCTGTTTCTTCTCTTGGGAATGAGTGACAGCCTGAAGGCCGAGTCCTTCTCCCTCAGCTTCTTTGCAAAGTCTTCCATGATAGCCCCTCTCCCAGGTGAAATGAACCATCACTCCCCCTCTGAGTGCCCATTACTCTTTCCACATGCCTCCACTCTAGCAGAGTGAACACTTTATGATTATTGTGGACATATTTTAAGGCCTATGACATGAACACTATCTTATTAATCCTAGGCAGTGCCGGGCAGCATATCTAGGCCAAGACGAGAGTTCAGTGAACGTTGGCTAAGACTGATTTGAGGATGGGACATGGGTAGTTCACTTGACACAAGTCTGAGACTTGTATGGAGTACCTCAGTATTCCCCACCAAAGATCATGGATATTTGGGAGTCTGGGAACAAAGTTTGAAGCGGCCCACTGAAATCATGAAATTTCCTCAAGGACTTGTATTATCTTAAAATTTCATGTAAAACTGGCTCTCTCTTGCATAATACATTAACATTTGTTATCAAGGCTTAAGTAAAAATAGCTCAAATTTTTAAGTTAAGTAGACATTCCTAAAGAAATCTGGCTTCTCTCTCATGTGGCTTCTTATACTCTCCGGCCTGCCAATGAACCTATGGGTACAGATACCAAGGTGGAGAGGCAGGGAGCTAGAAGGCTCCTTTTCCTGACCCCATAGGTGAGGGCACCATCAGACTGATTTGGCCTGGAAGTTCCAGAAGCCTCCACCCCACACCCCACTCCCCATTCCCCCAGGCAGCTGGATGCTAAGTACATGGCATGAGGCGCACCTTGCCTCCCAGCAAACATTTCAGAGGAGTAATTATTCAGCCACCTATCCGGTTTCTAATCTTTCTCCAGCGCCTTTTAGGGATGACTCGTTCTGTGAAGTGGAACATTTTGTTGAGTTTTTCCAGGATGTCCCTTTCTTTGCATTTGTTATTGTTTTCGGGATTCTTTTGTTGCCGGTGTGATTTTATCATATGTGACCTGTGACCTCCTTTCTTCCTTTATGGGGCACACGTTTCTTTGACTGAGGAGAGCCTGAACATGTCTCCAAGTTCTTCCTTTCTATTTAAGTCTGATCTATGTCTTTAAACCATGGAGTGGAGAAAGCATGGACATTTGAGTCAGGCAGAACTGGTTTCAACTTTAGTTCTGCAACTCCCTGACCTAACAGCATGCATATGGTAAAACCTGGTGCAGAGTAAATATTCAACAAATGTGAATTTTCATTTCCTTCCTTTTACTAGAGAGAGACGGTATCTTGTTCTGTGTTCTGAAAACCTGGCTGGTGTTGGTGCCTCATAAAGAACCAGTTGCAATAAAATCCAAGAGCTTAAAATTAGCATCATTCTTTGCTAGAAGCAAAATTAGCTTAAAATGAACTGTGCTTAAAACAAGTCATGGTGGTGGGGCGCCTGGCTGCCTCAGTTGGAAGAGCGTGTGACTCTTGGTCTTGGGATTGTGAGTTCTAGCCTCAATAGGGGATAGAGGTTATTAAAAAAAATAAACTTTAAAATAATAATAACGATAAGAAGTCATGGTGGGTGTGGTACAGATGACCACTCCCTGTGGGGGTTGGGGTCTCCACCTTTGGCTTACCCAGCATGGAGATTTGACAGATGTCTATTGACTGAGTGAGTGAATAAATAGACAAAGGAATGAGTGAACACATCCCTCCAGGATGATGGATTTGAGATGAATAACTAAATTAGGTCAAAGTAACTCAATAATTTATAATATGTGAAAGAGGTCCACCGCATGGGGATGGGGGTGCATGAGAGGGTGACAAATCCTCCAGGCATTCAAGCATGCCTGAGCAGGTGGGCTCAGGAGGCGACTGGCTTACAGGGATTCATTGTTAGGGTGGTCAGGAGTTCCCAGGGAAGGCATGAGGAGGGGGTGCCCTCTGATGACTGCTGTCTGAGCATAAATACATATGGGTTTTTTTCTGGCACATAATTGCTGTGTTTCTGGGTTGTGGCAGCGGGTTGTGACTGCAGGGCTATCTTGGAGGAAGGACCTCAGATGACTAAGCTCAGCTTTGCATCACCAGCTGTTTTCCTGCCTTGGCTGCCTCTGGCCTCAGCAAAAGCCTCCTGCCTGTCTCCTGTCCCCAACGTCGTCCTGGCACAGTTCTCACAGCCTGGCCACGGCCACGGTGACCTCTCCAGATCAGATCATAGGAACCTCCCTCCTTAATACTTCCCATTCCTATTTCCATTGGAAAAAAACGTCCCAGCCCCTGTGTGCACAGCCTGTGTCGACCCCTCAGATGCCCGCCCTCACCGTATGCAGCCACTTGAGGCTTCCATGCTCCATGGTTTGCCAAGTCCATGGACACCTCAGCAAGGGCCTTTCCATTTGCCCTTCCCTCCGTCTGGAAAGCTCCTTCTGCTCTCCACAGGCTGGCTTTTCTTCCTGCTCAGCTCTCCGATCTTCCCATTCTCTGTGTCCTTCCCAGACTTTCTGAGTTAAGTAGCTCTCTCCTGTCCTCCCTACTTCTCTATATGCTTATTTTCTCCATGTCACTTAGGACTACCTAAAATCATCTTGTTAGTTTATCTTTTAGGGCTGTTTTTTTTCCACCCATTTTCTCTTCTCCTAATAGAATGTAGGGCTTAGGGGTTCAGATCTATCTGTCCCCAGCACAAAGTGGCCATAATAGGTGCTCAATAATTATTTGTTAGATGAATAAATAAATGAAATCCATTCCATGGAGAATAAACAAGATCACGTAGCACAATCTCTGCCAACTTCTCACCATTGTTTGCTAGAAAGGGGGGTGGCAACATTGCTACAAGGAGGAGAGAGAAGTGTCTAGAGGAGGGAGCTTACAGGCTGCCACAGTGCTCTCCCAGGAACCCAACCTCTGAGTGACAATGACCCTGCACAACACAATTGTTCCCAGCAGTTCTTTAGGAATCCTTGAAACCTTAGTAACCCTGAAGAGCTGCAAATCTGGAAGCTGTTGATGACCCCAAGGCTCCACAATCCTGCTACAACACCGAGAAAATGGATTTGTTTGGTCACTGTCATCACAGCTGACATGTGACATGCATCATCACAGCTGAACACTGGTTTGGATTCCTGTCCTAGTCAGTCCCCTTGGGTCAGAGTAATGATGTTGCTCAGGAATAGTTCAGCAGCAGCGAAATGGACTCTGGGTATCTAATCAAAATGGGGATTTACTAAAAACTATGAGAGGCTCATGGTTCCAGAAGGAGGGACTGGCATGATTAAGTCAAGGAAGTAAGGAAATGCAAGGCAAAGCAGGTGAGCCACAGGGCACAGGGCACTGGAACGCAAGCCAGCAACAGTGCGGGGGCAGGAAGCCCATCCCGTTTCCCAGGCACAGGAGGTGGGCCCCTGCCTTCTCTCTTCCGCTCCTCTCAGGGTTGAGAAAGGGCAAACTTGTCTGAGGCAGGATATCCACAGATGAAGAAAGCGGTGTACTTTCCCCTGCCAGCTCTGCCTGTTGAAAAATGAAGAGGTGACGACAACACCTCCGTCATTCACCTCCAAATGACACGATTAAGCCTCGGCCTTGCCAGGACTACAGGGCAAAGTGGCCCCAGCAAGTCTGGGCTAGGCCTGAACTGGCAACAAAGCATGTGTCACTAAGTCACATGCCTGCGGGGACCGGGGCTCAGGGAGACATGTAAAGCCAGCCAGGTGAGCGACAATATGGAGAGATGATGCCTCTGCCAAGTGGAGATCAAGCGCCCCCAAGGCATCCCACCCTGAGTGTGTTTGTGGTATGTTATGGTGGTTTTTCTCTGTAACGTAGTGACGGAACAGATTCATTGGTGGCTTTCCTAATTTCGAATCAACCTCTAGTCATGTGTGAGGCAGCTTGTGAGGGACAACTGTTTAATTTTCAGGGTTTTCAAGTTTTATCATTACTGAATATTATTTTTAATCCTAGATGAGATTGGTCTGTAGCTCTTTTCTATTTGGAGGGTATGTTCTTTGTCACCTTTCATGTTTCTCTATGGCCCAGGTTAAATCTCTGATTATTAATCATATGAGGAGTATTTTAAAATGCAGATACCCAAGCCATGGACCTGATCAATTAAATCAATTTCTGGTGAGGAGATTCAAATACCAGTATTTCTAAAAACTCCTCAAATAATTCCCATGTTCAAACAAGGTTGAGAAACACTGCCCTGGCCTAGTGCTTCTTAAATGACACAGAGCTTCATTTAGTAGATCTCCGTGGGGGATTGACACTCTACATTTCCAATGAGCTGCCAGTGATGCTGATGCTGCTAGGCCATAGACCACGCTTCATGTAGCCAAGATTTTGAATCACATTGTGATTATCTGTGTTTCAAAGGTTAGATAAGATTCAGCTATGCGGCCATTTCATCCAAATGTCTTTTCAACATCAAATCTTATTACCTGGGTTCCCTGGGTGGCGCAGCGGTTTAGCACCTGCCTTTGGCCCAGGGCGCGATCCTGGAGACCCGGGATCGAATCCCACGTCGGGCTCCCGGTGTATGGAGCCTGCTTCTCCCTCTGCCTGTGTCTCTGCCTCTCTCTCTGTGTGTGTGACTATCATAAATTAAAAAAAAAATTTCATTACCTTTCTAATCTCTTCTATAGTTATTTATTTACTTATATCTCCCACTTTTTCCTGTGTCATTTTTGGTATTTTGCATTTTTCAAGAAATCTATTTTTTCTGTTTTCAAATTTACTGCCACACCCTTACATTTAATAGCCCCCTATTATTTTAAGCTCTTCTGTATCTGTAATTACAACAATTCAGATTCAAAAGTTTAAAAAATATTAAGCCGATCAACCCAACACCTGTGCCTGACTGATCTTTGGCCCTCCAATTTGAGATCCTGCCAAAGAACTCCAATTACTCCATCATTTCTCTGGCTTTTAAGTTGTTGCTGACTCTAGAAGATTCCATTAAAATAGTTACTGAAGAGGTAATCTCAGAATCAATTCCAGAACTAGTTATAGTTAACAACCTTGAAATTCAATCACTTTATATTAAGATGGGGAAAATGAGGCCCATGAAGGTGTATGACTTACCTACTTGTAGTGGAAAGATTAAAATTAAAACCCAGGATGTCCAGGAACCCAGTTGGGGATAGGAGATACATCACCACTGCATCCTTAGCTTGGTTCCTACAATTCAACAATTCAAGAGCAGTCACCAAATGTGAATGATATATAATGCTTGGTGTTTATCTGGCAAAGCCTTTGATATTCAGACCACTTTTGTCACGTTCACACCATTCTATGGTCCTGAAGAGAAAGTGATGTTATTAAGGAACAAATGCCTGGGGCACCTGGGTGGCTCAGTTGGTTAAGCATCTACCTTCAGCTCAGGTCATGATCCTAGAGTCCTGGGATCAAGCCCCAAATTAGGGTCCCTGCTCAAGCAGGGGGTCTGCTTCTCCCTCTCCTGTCCACTCCCGTGCTCTCTCTCTCACTCTACTCTCTCTCCAATAAATAAAAAACTTTAAAAAAGAAAAGAAACCAATGACTAGAACTGTTTGTGGGAACATAGCATGGTACAGCCTCTGTGGAAAATGGTATGCTGATTTCTCAAAGAATTTGAAAATATAACTGTAATATTATTCAGCAATTCCACTTCTGGGTATATATCTAAAATACATGAAAGTAGAGTCTCAAAGAGATACTGCATGTCCATGTGCATAGTAGCGTTATTCCCAAACAGCCAAAATGTGGAAGCAGCCCAAGTATCCACTGACACATGAATGGATAAGCAAAATGTGATATGTACATACAATGGAATATTATTCAGCCTTAACAAGGAAGGAAATTCTGACATATGTGCCACCCAAAGGCAAAGGGGATGATTTTGTCCCAGAGCCCATGAGTAGGAACTGTTGCCACCCATTCATCTGAAGTATTGCTGCTGTTAAAACTGTCTCTCCCACTGAGCAGAAAGCCAAAGCCCACCTGCTCATGTCTTTGAAACTGCTATCAAAGCTGCTGAAGGCCTCAGTTACCCTAGCCACCACTGTTGCCCTCACCCCAGGACCCCACCAGTGCACAGCCTGCATCCACCTACTGCAGCTGCTGTGAATGCCACAATCGGGGTTGGGGGAAACAGGGGGAGGCTCTTCTCCCCTGCTCCTGCCCTCCAACCAAGTCACACAAGTGCCCTGCACCAGCAACATCTAACTGACACAGGACCCAGCTGGCAAGGAAGTTTGGAAAATGCAGTTTCCAGGCCACCAGCCACGGAGACACAGAGAAGAATGTGGAAAGGCAGGAATGAGGCTGAAGGGCCACAGACAATATCCGGGTATAGCTACCAAGAGGCAGTGGTGAGGCAAGAAGGTGGGATCTGAAAATCAAGTCTTGGAATTCAAACATGTCTCACTGAGTAACAGTAATGATCAGCATCCCTGAGGTATCACCAATTCCATCTGGTGGCCCCTCTCGGATCTTTCCATAAAAACTACCTAGCCTGGGGCAGCCTGGGTGGCTCAGCAGTTTAGCTCCGCCTTCGGCCCACCCAGGGTGTGATCTTGGAGACCTAGGATCGAGTCCCACATTAGGCTTCCTGCAGGGCTGCTTCTCCCTCCGCCTATGTCTCTGCCTCTTTCTCTCTCTGTGTCTCTCATGAATAAATAAATAAAATCTTTAAAAAACAAACAAACAAACAACTACCTAGCCTGGAGGGGATTTTTCTCTGCTGGCCTGGGGGAGGGGGACAGCTGGAGGTTGCTGAGTAGTCTTCTGTTAAGCAGAAACAGCCTAGAACCTGGAGGTCCCATTCCTCCCCAGGTTAGGAGCTGTGGCGTCTGCTCAGCTGCCATAGCAAAGTATCACAGGCTGGGCAGGTAGAACAACAGTCATTTTCTCACAGTCTTGGAGGTTGGAAGTCCAAGTTCAGGTGCAGACAGTTTGGTTTCTCCTGAGACCTCTCACCCTGGCTTGCAGACAGCCACCTTCCTGCTGTGTCCTCACACGCCCTTCCTTATCTCTGCTCGCACTCCTGGTCTGTCTTCCTCTTCTTAGAAAGATTCCACACTACTGGATTAGGGTCTACCTTTATGGCCTCATTTAACCTTAATTACCTCTTTGAAAGCTCTGTCTTCAAATACAGTCACCCTGGGGATTAGGGCTTCAAGACAAGAACCAGGAGGGGGAAGGTGATGGGCATAATTTGGTCCATAACCAAACCATTAAGGAGCCAAGTAGATATTTGCAACTCTGAGAATAAACAGACACCTGCCTTTTGAGCCCTGGTCAGGGATCTGCTGAATCACCCCCATCCCTTTACACCCAGTTAAAACTTATTTTGTCCTTTGGTTCATTTATACCCAAATATTGATTGCTATTACTGGAGACATGAATGTTGACGTCAGGCCCATGATTACAGTGCAGAGTGGCCAAGGTACGCTCACAGTGCTTTGGGCAAGGGTGCCCACAAGAGAGCTCCCCATCCAGGCTGTTGGTGAGAGGCAATGTAGGCAAAGATCCCAGGGAAGGCTTCCTGAAGGAAGAGACACCGGAGCCCTGTCCTGAAATATGAGATGAAATTATCCACTTGAGAAGGGGATTTGTTTAACCGGAGCCTATTTGCCCAGAGCCAACCAGGAGGGAGGTTAGTTTGTGTACAACATTTCTACTTAAAGTCAGGGCCTCTGGATCAGGAGTATGAGAATAGAATCACCTGGGAGCTCGTTAGGTAGAAACAGACTCTCAGAGCCCATCCCAGACTTACTGAATCAAAATCCACAATTTAACAAGATCCCTAGAGGGTTTGTGTGAGGGTTAAAAATTGAAGAACAGGGGCACCTGGGTGGCTCAGTTGGTTAAGCATCTGTCTTCGGCTCAGGTCATGATCCTGGGGTCCTAGGATCGAGCCCCATGTCCAACTCCCTGGTTAGCAGGGAGCCTGCTTCTCCCTCTCCCTCCCGCTCTGCCTACCACTCCCCTTGCTTGTGTGCATGCTCGCTCTCTCTCTCTCTCTCAAATAAAATCCTTACAAAAATAAAGTAAAATTTGGGAAATACTGATCAAATATAAAACTGTTGCTCACAGATGGAAAAACCAAGGGCCAGAGAGAGGAAATGATCATTCTAAGATGACACAGCATTTGGACAACAACAAAAAAGTCCCAAATCTAAGCACCTGCCCCTGACTTGCAGTCTTTCTTCCAAGGATTGACATATTTGCCAGTTCACCTGAAATTCTGACATCATATTAGGATACTGACTTTTCTGCTCAATGAGCCCTTGGCTCATTAGTAGCTGTAATTCATCAGGTAAGAACTTGAGGGGGGGGGGGGCAACATTTCACCTTTGTTGATGCTGTTCTGCCTCCAGTTTGGGATGGTCTTGACTGCTTTCTGTCAGGTTCCCACCACGTCTGTGTTTTCCCGGGAGCTCACTTGCCAACAGGATTGCCGCTTCTGCCTAGAAGATACTCAGTTCATCCTAGTGCCTGGGTCTCCAGTGACAATCTCAGGCAGCCCTGTGCTCACATCTTCCATAAATATATGTGTGTGTTCATTTTCCTGGTTTATTTCTGTCTATGGTAGCCACCGCCACTAGTCTGGCTCAGGGACTTGCAATCCTTGAACTTGGTTCCCGGTGCTTTGAGACTCTTAGTGCCCCTATGCACACCACAAAAGCAAATGCAAATACTTCTTGAAGGACGATACTTTCAATATAGGCCTCAAATAATTCAACGAGGTAGATCAACAAGGCAGCTCTGTTGACATCTTTGGGAACAGGAAACTATAGCAAGTGATAAAGTCTTCCCGGAACTAAGTAGAACTTCTAGAGACAAAATGCCACAACCAAAATACATACACATATGCCTACTAACCTTAATGGATAAGTTTAACAGCAAAAGAAATACAACTAAAGATGGAATTAAGGAATTGGAAGACAGCCCTGAAGAAATTATTCAGAGCATCATTCCAAGAGATAAAAAGATGGAAAATGCAGGGGCACATAGCTGAGTCAGTTGGAGGAGCAGGTGACTCTTGATCTTGAGGTCATAAGTTTGAGCCCCTCGCTGGGTATAGAGGTTACTTAAATCAAAACTTTTAGAAATGTTTAAGAAAAAAAGATGGAAAAGGCAGAAGGGAAGATAAGTGACATAGAAAATATATTTATTTTTATTTTTTAAGATTTTATTTATTTATTCACAAGATACACACAGAGAGAGGAAGAGACATAGGCAGAGGGAGAAGCAGACTCCATGCAGGGAGCCTGATGTGGAATTCGATCCTGGATCCCAGGATCACGCCCTGAGCGAAAGGCAGATGCTTAACCTCTGAGCCACTCAGGCATCCCAGAAAATATATTTTAAAAGTCTAACATACATTTTATCAGAGACTCAGAGGGAGGAGTGAGAGGGAAGTAGGCTGTGGCAATCCTGAAGATGTAGTGAAGGTCTGAAAAGATGACCTTTCTAGCACTGAGCACAAGTAAAGGGTCTACTGAAAAGAAACAATATTCTCCACGTGTGTGCCTGGTGGAGGCTCTCTCCTCCCTGGAATTGGAGTAGCAGAATTCAGGCGCTGAGTTCCACTTCCAGCCTCATCCTTGGCTACCATATATCCCTCCTCCACAGTTGTCTTTTTATTTATTTATTTATTTATGTTTCATCTGTGTCTAGCAGGTCTTTAGTCTACATGTGAAAATTTTTAAAAATCCAGGGTTTACTTTGGATTTTACACACATGGCAGACAGTTTCTAGGCAAAAATATAAAGTTCGATGAATAAGAAAGTGTCTTCTTGTGAAGCCCGGGTGGCTCAGTGGTTTAGAGCTGCCTTCAGCCCAGGGCATGATCCTGGAGACCCGGGATCGAGCCCCACGTCAGGCTCCCTGCATGGAGCCTGCTTCTCTCTCTGCCTGTGCCTCTGCCTCTCTCTCTCTGTATCTCTCATGAATAAATAAATAAATAATCTTTTTTTAAAAAAAGTGTCTTCTTTATTCTGGCATTGTTGATATAAGCAACATCTAGGACAGAAAACAAGTCCTTTGGAATCTGAGGGGTAGGCCTGCTGCCAATGATTGTGTGGTGTGTCCACTGCACAAAGGTACCGGTTAGAAGACTGGGACCTGAAAACCAGCTGTGGCTCTGGCCAAGCTGTGTACCCTGGGGACCATGTCTGCCAGAAGACA